TGCGAGCCAATATAAAGTTATCGTAGAAAGTACCACGGGAAGCTTCAAAGAGATGTGAATTGGGTCAGCAAACATGTTGGCATTTCATTAAAAAAACATTTATTAAATTATAAAACCGTTGTTATTTATTTAGTGTCAGAAAGTAAAGATATACGTGACAAGGGGTAAATGCAATCTGCACAATAATTACGTTCCATTGTTATTTATTTAGTGTCATCTCAGCCGTGTACTCCGTGCTTTGCGAGCCAATATAAAGTTATCGTAGAAAGTACCACGGGAAGCTTCAAAGAGATGTGAACTGGAGCCAGCAAACATGTTGGTATTTCATTTAAAAAATTATTAAATTATAAAACATTGTTATTTATTTAGTGTCAAGAAGTAAAGATATATGTAACGTATAGGGAATAAATGCAATCTGCACAATAATTTGCGTTACATTGTTATTTATTTAAGTGTCAAGAAATAAAGATATATGTGACGTATAGGGGATAAATGCAATCTGCACAATAATTTGCGTTACATTGTTATTTATTTCGTGTCATCTCATGCGTGTACTCGGTGCTTCGCGAGCCAATATAAAGTTAAGTCGGAGAAAGCCCCAGGGGAAGCGCCGTGCTGGTGTTCGTGGGCGCGGGCTCACCTGCGTGTGCGGGGGCTCGGGCTGGAAGACGGGTCGGCCGTCGTCGCCCAGGTACGAGTCGTAGGGCAGCGTGCACACCGGGTAGAAGCCCAGGCGGTCCACGGCGCGCGCCGAGAAGGCCGACGTGCAGTCACAGCGCACCAGCGGGAAGCCGTGCTCCGCCGCCAGCTCCCTGCGCACACATCGACAACGCGCCCCGTCACGCACGCGCACCGCCGCCGACGGGCGCGAGGGGGGCAGAAGGAGGTGACTGCTTAGTAGTGAAAGTTTTGCAATAATAATTTCCGCATAGAAAATTAGCAGTGAACATTTCTTTATGAGTTGGAAATTAGTAACAGGTTTCTGCGCGCATTGGAAATCAGCATACAAAATTCTTGGCGCATTGGAAATTAGCAATAAAAATATATGCGCGCATTGGAAATTAGAAATTAACATTTTTCGCGCATTGGATATTAATATAACTTTTTGCGCACATTGAAAATTAGTAATACAGAGTTTTGCGCTGATTGGAAATTAGTAATAGAGATTTCTGTTCGCTTTGGAAATTAACAATAAGTGTTTCCGCGCGCATTGAAAATGAGCAATAAAATTTCTGCGCAAATTGGAAATTAGCAATGAAATATTAGCGCATTGGATGTCAATACACGTTTGTACAGGCATTCAATATTAGTAATATATTTCTGCGCGCAATGCAAATTAGCAAAGAAATTTCAGAGCGCATAGGAAATTAGCAATAACATTTTCTTTATGTTAGAAATTAGCAATAAAATGTCTGCAAATATCGTAAATTAGCAATAAGATGTCTGCGCGCATTAGAAATTAGCAATAAAATGTCTGCGCGACTTGGAAATTAGCAATAACATTTTCTGTGTATTAGAAACTAGCAATAAAATATCTGCGCGCATTGGAAATTCGCAATACAATTTCTGCGCACGATGTAAATTAGCAATGAAATTCCATCTCGAACTGGAAATTAGCAATAAGATGTCTGCGTGCATTAGAAATTAGCAATAAGATGTCTACGCGCATTGAAAATTAGCAATAAAATTTTCTGTGTATATAATAATTAGCAATAAAGTGTCTGCGCGCATTGGAAATTAACAATAAAATGTCTACGCGCCTTGGGAATTAGCAATAACACTTTCTGTGTGTATTAGAAATTAGCAATAAAGTGTCTGCGCGCATTGGACATTAGCAATAAAATGTCTACGCGCCTTCGTAATTAGCAATAACATTTTCTGTGTGTATTAGAAATTAGCAATAAAATGTCTGCGCGCAATGCAAATTAGCAACGAAAATACTTCATGGAAATGAAGTGGCCTGCTTGGAAATTCGCAATGCAGGTGGGCCTGCACGTACCTGGTGCGCCTGAGCAGCGCGGTGCCGATGCCGAGGCCGCGGCAGGCGCCGTCCACGCTCAGCACGCGCACCTCCAGCAGGCGCTGCAGGCCCGGGAAGCGCGCGAACAGGTCGGCCTGCGCCTCCACCTCGGCCAGCAAGCGCAGGATCTTGCGGAAGCGCGGGTGCGGGCAGGCGGCGGCGCGCGCGCGGGCCTCGTCCGCGTGGCCCGGCGCGTTGCTGCCGTTCAGGCACACGCCCAGCAGCTCGCCCGTGCCGGGCGCCACCGCCGCGATGCTCAGCGCTGCCAACACACACACGCCACACGGTCACGACACTGTCGCATTTTTTTAACGGCATTTAACGATATGGTAACTGTGAAGATACACAAGATGATATGGTGATGATAGGGGGTGAAAGGACGAACACAAATACAGCCATGCCCAAGGTGGGACTCGAACCCGCGATTTTTCGGTCCAATATCGCTACAACACTACTGCCTTAATGACCTCGGCCATTCGGATCGGCACTATTATTATTATTATTATTATTATTATTATTATTATTATTATTATTTAAGGTTGCATCAACATCTAGACATTAGCGACCACTATTGCATTTAACGGCATGGTAACTATGAAGATGATATGGTATGGTGATGATAGGGAGTGAAAGGACTAAAACAAATACAAACATTATTTAATTGGTTGTCCGGTGATGCCGCGTCCATGACACAGGTGCCGACGTTTCGGTCGCCATTCTGCGACCTTTCTCAGGGCGCAATGGAAGGTCGCAAAATTGCGACCGAAACGTCGGCACCTGTGTCATGGACGCGGTGTTACCCGGACATCCAATTAAATACTTACTCCGGCCGCGGAAACGTACGCTTTCAAATAGAATCATGCCTGAGGATGGACTCGAACCCGCGATCCTTCGGTCCGATATCGCTACGGCACTACTGCCTTAACGATCTCGGCCATGCGGACCGGCGACATTTTTGTTTGTATGAGATGACACTGTCGAATAATGAAAGAAGCACATTAGGGGGGAAAGAGGAGTGTGTGGTCCAAAACTAAGTGCAGAGGCGTTGGCGTGGGCGATCGTCTATGGCGCTGTTTCATTTCAGGTGCTGAGGAGGCCAAAGACTGGAAGGAGAATGCGCGACGTCGGGGCAGGAAGTAAATAAATAGTTTAGAAAAATGCAGGTTTTTCCCCCTTTGTGGGTTTTTGCCCCTTCAGGGTTTTCCCCCCCAAGCCATACCTTACGGTTTCTTTTCCGCGACTTTGATGTGATGGAGAGACCATTTGGGGTGAATACCAGAATTGGAAAGGTTAGAACTTGGTAGGATGTAGGTATTATTATGTCTTAAATGTCTTCTGCCTAGCCACATTGTACCAAGTAATTTAATTTGTATGTGTGATAATTATCTATTAAATACATTTTAAAAACATTTGAATTTTTAGCTAGCCATAACACGTCCCGTAAAGGGAAATTCGCGATGTCTCGAATATCCTCGATTGATTGATTGATTGCTTAGTGATTCCGAGCGCGTCAACTGCTACTTGGTCCCGTAAGTGTAGTACGTGTTTTTCTCTGGAGGTGGCGGTTACTTTCCCCCCGCTGTATGGCGAGATCCGGCGCCGACCTATTTGTCGGTTGGCGGGATTTTCCACACTAGCTATCTCCCACCAGCGGGGCACCGCCCCAGCCGGGACAAGCTCTTAGTTCCTGAAGGGTCTCTCGGCGTGTGTGGTAGTGTGGGGCTTGTTAGTGTGTGTGTAATTTACGAGTGAGGATAGAACAATAAAGATGAAGAAAAGAATGTGTGTGGTCTGTGGCTCGTTTGTTTGAGTACTGATGCGGTATTTGCCTGGAGAAAACCGGGAAAACTACCGATCAGAGCAATCAGACGCTGGAATTCTCTTCTAGACAGCCACCAAATTCGAGCTAGCGAGGAACCTAGCTATCTAGGAACACCGGGATCTAACGGGGATGAGACCATTTGCCCATTGCGGGACATATGGTTAAATACAAACACAAATGTGCGACCAGGAGAGATGGCTCAGAGCATCAACTGATGTAACTGCAGTGCCTATGACTGGAAGGTCCTACGTTCGAATCCCGATGGTGGCAGAATCTTCGACACTAGCTAGACGGCTAAGTAGAATTCTTCCAGGTGAATGCCGGAGCAATACAATAACAAACGGTCCACGGACAGTGCGCGATCATTCCTTCCTCTTTCTTGTTCTACCCTCCCCCTTACTTACACACACACTTCCCTGCACTACACTACCACACATGCCGGAAAACCAGTAGGAAGCTTAGAGCTTTTTCCGGTTGGGGAGGTGCCCAACTGGTGGAAGATATCTAGTTGGGGAAAAAACCCGCAAGCCGATTGGGGTAGATCGGCGCCGGATCTGGCCATCCAGCAGTGAAGATCACCACCACCTCCCTTGATTAATACACACACTACACTTACGGGACTAATGATAGGAGCTGTTTATGCTCCCGGAATCATTAATCAATCAATCGAACCCGGAATCGAACCACGGGAAGCTAGTAGGCTGTCCACGAACCACCCTAGGGCGATTTCATTCACTCATTTTTCATTTTCTCTTTCTTTCTTTGTTTTCTTTATTTCCTTTTTCTTTTTTCCTTTCTTTCCTTTTCTTTCTTTCTTTTTTTTTCTTTCTTTCTTTATTCATGCATTCATTCCTTAATACGTACGTTCCTGTAGGGCCTCCGCGCAGTACTCCTCGAGGGGCACGCAGGGCTGGTCGTGGCGCGGACCGAGCAGCTGCACGGCCACATTGAGCGGTTCGTCGCGGAAGAAGAAGCGCTTGAGGAAGGCGAGCAGGCGCGGGGCGTCCTCCTGGCGCAGGAACACCAGCTCGAAGTCGCGCCCGGCCATCGCCACGCCCCTGGCGGACGGAGACGCAGACAGCGACGACGGTGGCGCTGCGGCGGCGGCCGCCGCGGACCCCGCGGGCGCCGGCGATGAGGGCCGCTCCTGCGAAAGAGGAGGACGACATGATGAGTGTTTGAGGTTAGAAGAGATCGCGAGGAAATTAAAAGAAATAAGAACAGAAAAGGACACAGAATAAAGCGAAAAAATAGGGTAGGGATTGTAATATTTCGATTTCGATGGTTAACGTATCGGATTGTTGCCCCCCGAGTTTTTCGGGTTGAAACCCGATTAAAGCAGTGGACGTTTAAGAGGTAAAAAAATCCATCTTCTTTCGGAGGGGAAGTAAAGCCAGTCGTCCCACGTTGTAGATTTATTGCATGTAAACGATTCCCAAGGTTAAAAGAAACTTCTTAGCTAAATTCCAATAGCTCTTTTCGTCGCCCGAATGGTACTTTCTTTCCCTGCTAGATGGCCAAAGGAGCGAAGTCAGACGGAAGAGTAGGCCTCACGGCCTGAGCCTCGCCGAGTAAAATAATGCATCATTGATTGTTTCCATATCTAAATATTGTAATAATAATAATAATAATAATAATACTAATAATACTAAGAAGAAGAAGAAGAAGAAGAAGAAGAAGAAGAAGAAGAAGAAGAAGAAGAAGAAGAGGAAGAAGGAAGAAGAAGTCGATAGCTTAGATGAGACTGAAAAGTTTCAGTATTCTTGGCTCTCGCTCTTTCTGTTTCTTTGCCTCTGTTTCCGTATCTGCCTGTCAGATTCTTTTCGATGGCTTTACGCCCTGAATGGCTCTTTTGTATCATTCGCATGTTCGCATTTCTGACGGAGCCTTTCTAGATCATGTGGCAAGGGCCAAATTAAGGATGGGGTGTCAGCCCATTGCCTGGCCCCAAGGTGCATAAAGCAAGCGATCAAGTTCCAGTTAAAAAAACTTGAAAAAATATTAAAAAAGATGAAAGAAACTTGAAAAAGGGAATAAATCAAAACAAAGCAGGTGACGAAAATCAAATTCACATATGCGTAGAAATAGTGCATATGTCATTTACAGGAATTCGAATGGTAGTTTGATCATTTTGCTGCATGGTAAACACTTTCGGACTTTGCTTCGGTAATGAGATGCGAGAACGAAATATTCTCTAGGTGAGGGTAATTGGCGCCAACCACATCGGCAACCCGTAGTGGATTCATAATTTATTTGGAAGGCGACTTTTAAGGACGGAACTGGCCAAACGTACACCTTCGCACTACACCTGTGTGTGTGTGTATGTTTTACGAGATGCTTATAAATGCATAAACACACCTGAAACAAACGATTGGTTATATATTTTCTCCCCCTGATTCAGATCTCTATTTTGTTCAATAGGCATAGATTAAACGTGATCACAACACATCGAGACCTTCCGAGATTCCTTACTTCACACATTATTGAGAAAAAATAATTATTTATTGTTTAAAATAATTTATTAACATAAGTTACTATAAATGCCATGATGTTTGCGGTAAAGCTGTTGTGAACTTTGCGATAGTTCATTTTCGTTTTAATCATTTTCATTGCCTTCTTTCTATGTTTATTACTATTATTATTATTATTATTATTATTGTCTTCTAAAATACTATGAGATTATTCTTAAACAGAATTCCCAAACGACATGGTCCAGATCGTAGAGCCGAAGTACTTTCCGTAGATTCATACTTCCCGGGTTGAATGAATTTCGCCAGAGTTACCTCAGAAAAAGCGAGGGGGTTGTTCTCAGGGGAAGGGATATGACGTCAGAACGTCACCTACCCCTTCAACGGAAGAAAACCTCTCCAGTTTCTGATAAGTCGCCGTGCAGTGCTAACGAACTTTCGTGCTGAGGTCGGGCGTGTCGCTCTTGCTGGTCTGATAATGACTACGTTTCGTGTGAATACTTCAAGAAATGCTGGGCAGCATTCTCTTTGCGGAAAAGTATCTTCAAAACGGGTAAGTTTGTGCCCTGATAACTGTAGGTTTTGTTGACGATTGAAATAATATAAAGGATTTAATCGACTTTCAATTATTTAACTTAGAAAAATGTCCTGTTCTTGTATTAAATTAAACATTATTTTCTCAACGAAACTTAAACCTTCATGTCTCGTGTAAAAGATTAAAGCACGTGTAACTAATATACTGTATAAAAATTTCTAAAATTTTCCAAGAATTGCTAAATTGAGTTATTTATGAACTATTAAATGTGTTTCCGAAGTAACCCTTAGAGGAAAAAATAGTGCAAGTGGCCACAAAATCGCAACCTTGACTCATCAAATTTAGGATATTGGGCAAAAATTAAATCTACGTTTTACGTAACAAATTTGAAATTAAAATTCATGCTATTGACAAACTCAAAGTAAAAATTTATGTTCGTTCAGTAGACAAATGATCCTATTTTCTCCCTTTTGCAATTAAATTACGCATTATCTACGCATTAAGTGTTCTTCTCCTCTTTGATTTTTCTGCAATTACATTTTCACTCTCTTTGGAATGAGTGTGATAAATCTGAAGGTCGACAGTGAGTTATATTCCTTTGTTAAAACGAAGTTTTGGAAGCCTACTACTGAAGCTTTGTTAGCTCACTGGCAATGTACCAAAGTTCCCAAACTTCTTGCATGTCCGCTTGTGCTGTAACAATCTGGGAGAGTTACGATAAAACTATTTTCGCCTAAAACTATTTTTACAATCAGTACATTTAGATTTTCAGAAAATATCTGGAAGCTAATCTACTCACATTTCGAGCAAAAAAATGGTCAGAAGAAATTCAAATTAAGCTTTAGACATTATAATATTATGTAGAAATTGTAAATAATTATTAATTCAATATTAGTAATTCGTATTAAATTTTAATGCCATTATCTTGTCTAGTAGGTATATAATTTTCTCAGTACTTGGCTATTGAGAACGTGATAAAACATTCATTATTTTTATTATATTATATTTTGTATAGTATTTTTGAAACAATGATGTAACATTGATATTACGCGAAATAGATGCAATAAAACTATATTTGTGAAATAATGAGTATTGATGAACAACAGAATAGGGCAGAGCGGAAGACAACCACTAGAGTAATAATGGGATGCTCTCCTATTTCTTTTGCTATTGTTTATTCGGTCGATCGAAAAAGAACGTTGTAGTTGAAAACAATGTACAAAAAAATGAAACGAGGATTTAACAAACCCTGTGCCCAAACGTAATTGGCACAGTTTTGCATAACAAATAACTGAAATGTCATATAAAATCTAGGAAAATTAGGAAAAATTGAAATAATTTATAAAATTTTAAAGAACGAGTTTGTACTTTTTTTGGGGAAAACAATTGATAAATTTTGCAAAAACATTCATAAGCTATTTGTAAGATGCAGAAAGGTTTCAAACCCTCCACAGAAAACATTCAGAATTCCATCTACACTTAGTATGTAATTATGTATTGTTTTCCAATTTTAAGCACAACGGTTCGCTTTTATAAGTTTTAGAAATTTTATAAATCAATTTTATAAATATAATAAATTTGTGCACAAAAAGGTCGTGTCTCACTCGCACAAAAGATCGTGTTTTATGAGAGACGAGCTATTTTCGAGATATTAATTTTAAAATCCATTAGCACATATTTTGGGCTTATTTTCGTATACAATCCATCTCGCATAAAGTGATCTACTTTTGTATGAAGCAATGATAAATTAAATGTGATAAATTTCTACCTATTTAACACTATTACGAATGCGGCTGTGTCTGGGTGGAGTTAGACTCCTTGCGTTATACTTCCGTGAGTACCACCTGCAAAGGTGGCCTTCACCTTGCAACAGTCGTCTGTCGTAGCGTTTGTTAACACCGATGGCTCAGCGCCAAATGGCTGGAGAAGGACCAAGAACCTTCAACGGAATTGCAAGAGCGAAGGTAATAAAACGAGAACTGCAGGATAAGATTAACGCATTGAAAGAGGACTGCCAACTTCTTGATACAGAAAAAAGTACTACTGAATGGTGTAGAAATAAGGATTTCGGACACTAGTCTAGTATACGAAAATGCAGGCTTTTAATTTTCATTTAGAGGTCAAGAGTTGTTGCTCATAGTTTCCAAATTTGAAATATGCGTAAAAAATAATTTGTGATGGGTTGCAAACTTAAAAAATGTTTCTAGAAATTTACTACTACAGTTAATTCTCCGATAATGTTTACTAGTTTATTAAAAATTTACGATCAGAAATTATGACAGATGTACAACAATTTGGATTACACGTGGCCAAAGATTTTGGGGGTCGTTTCCACTTTAACCTGTAGAAAAGGTAGTTTTTTTTCTTCCTCTCAGAGTTTAGAAAATATAGTCTTTATACTTAGTATTAACTTTCATCAAATGAAAATGAATAATTCATGGCATTTATGGCAATAATATATGGCAAAATAAATTAATGTGGAGTAAATACATTTCCATGGCTAGTTCTTAGTATTTCACATAATTGCGATGAATTCGGAAATGATGACTGGACGCTTAATAGTATCATCCAAGAAAGTGTAAATGACAAAGTGTATAACCTGGAGTCCTAGATTTCCTTTTACCTTCTCACCTATTACGATTTTATTTTCTTTACAGATTTAATGCCGAACAGAAACTTGAATGGAAAAGAAATTACGAGAGTAAATCTACCAGTTCGGAACTGGTTTTCCCGTGTTTGTAAGAAAAAAGAGGGTTAACGAGTTATGACTAATTGAACTTACATTTAATTGGTCGTGACGCGTTTGCGAATGTCTACTTCTTGATGCGTTTGCAAAAGTCTCTTTCTTGGCACGTCTAAAAAACGTCAATGTATAAGACGATTATTTTTAAAAAAAAAGTAAAGAATACAAATTAATTTCTCGCAAATTCCTGGAAATCATTAAATTACATGAAGACATTCATGTAAAAGAAACAAAATTGTTCAACCTAGTAGTATTTACACCTTCTTAAAGAGATAACTAAAAATTCAATTTATATTAAAAATATAATAAAGTTCGTTTCAGAATGGAACGAACAAACTATTCCTTTGAAATTCTTTGTTCTTCACACAATTATGTTCTTGTAATAAGGCGTGGGAAGTGCTTTGGAAAACTGTCGTTAATACGTACAGTACTATTGTAGGAAATCATTCGTAATTTCATTGCTTTAAATGAAATATACTTTCACCTTTCTCTTTGTATCTAATAGAGCGAATGCACGCTTTTTAAACATCTGAACCAGTATTATACGGATATATCATATTATAATTAATTATATTTTAACCAATAGAATTGGATCGTTACAGATGGCGAAATGTTTGAACTTGATGTTACACAAGTTTGATACGGAACAGACTGTACAGTTTCAGTCAGGTCCTTGTTCCCGTTCTCTTGTAACGCAATTCACACTTGCAAGAAGTGAGCCACGCGACCTTAGAAGTATAATGACCTTGTCCACACAAGGAACCACAGCGTAGCGATTACTGAGAAAATACCCCTTTGCAATAGTTTCCGATTAAGATTTAGACCAAATTCTCATTTGGGAGACAAAAGCTGTTTGTGGAAAACAATCCACAGAATATTTTACTTTCAAGTATTAAAAATAACGGATCTTAGTCGCACTCTGATATACTGCACAAATTTTAATGAACAACACACAAAATGGTTTTCCAAAAAGCAGCACTCTCTCTGATAAAAAACAACAAATAATATACTCTTCTGTAACTCTGCAATAAATTATTTTAACAAAAATAATCTTCATGAAGACTGCACTGAAACAGATTAATATAATATGGTATGGTATAGTGTAGTGTACACCTATTACACCAGTGTCGACATATCAAGAATGTCAAAAGTTCGCAACTGAGTATGGAATTTTAGCCGTTAAGTGCAGTATGAGAAAAAGCCGCATATCACAAATATTTGCATTTTTCAATCAAAATCCTATTTTTTTCATCATTTTTCTTTTTTTTCTGAGCTCCTGTGTGCCGAACAAAACCATAGACACCTCTGTCATGGCTGGAAGCTGCCTAGTTTTCTTCAATTTCTGCGCGCATTGGAAATTAATAATATAGATATTAGGGCCATTTTACCTTTTTGGAATTGTTAGATTTTTGTACTTGAGAGGGCTTACGTAGAACAAAATTCATAAAAATTAATTTTGACGTTACAAGTGAAGCAAACACTATACAATTAATGATCAATTTTCATACATTGACGTACAGTATAACCCAATAAAACGTATACACTCTCAGAATTACTATAATTACAAAATGTATTATAACGAAAAAAGTTTCTAGATTCAAAATAATAACAAATGTACAAGTAAGCGATTTATCAGAAGTGATCCAATTGTTGACCATTGTGGTCCAGTCATAGCTGATAACGCTGACTGATGGAATCCAAAACGTTCATCTTTTCAATTGATATTTTTGCACATTATTTTAATATCAGCTCTCAACTCATTCATTTCAGCTGGTTTTGTGTTATCAACATTATCTTCAACATGTTAATACAGAAAAAAAATTATCTCGCAAAGGAGTAATTGTGAGTCTCGCTGCTGCATTTTCCTGAAACACTAATCTAAACTGTCATTGAATTTCGCTTATGTTTTTAATCTTCCAGTAGCATCATACAAGAAATTTTCTTTGCTGAAAGTTAAGTCTTATTATTTTAAGCAGTTAGAGCTCAAAAAGAAAATTGGAATTAGTAATGAGCTATCAGAGTGTATGCATTTTAATGGGAAATAGTTCACATATTATATTAATTACGTAATTGAATCATCAAATTCTGCTTTCATTGTAAATTAGTAATGTAGATGTTAGAGCTATTTTTGTGTTTTTTGTGATCGTTGGATAGTAGAACGTTGGGGGGGGGGTGCAGAGAAAGTATGCTTAAAAGTAATTCGTGATCATAAATGTTATCATAAATCGTGAGATTTCGTGATAACCAATAAAATGCTGAACATACCACGAAATGCTAGTTAATACTGCCTCGCCTAAATTAAAAATCTCGGCTCCACTAAGCTCTGCCTCGATTTTTAACATTTGCCCTCTGCAGTAATAACATTCGTAACATTACTGGTATGTTGATAGCTACAATCGAATAGGTAAAATGGAACTCCGGTTGGCCGCAGCGATGTGCGTGGGTGGTGAGGTTGGTAGCTCTTCCTCGTCGGGTCCGGATGCCTTCGGGAACGTTGGTTGCGTTGACGAAAGCCACTCGTCTTGTCTTGGCCGGCCTGGCCTCGAGCGCACATTGATAGACTCCCTGCTATTTTCAGCAATGGCGCGAATCGCGATCGTAGGACCGTACGTCGCGGGCAGACAGGGCCCACCAAGAACATTTAAACGGCGCGCAATAAAATAGTATTTTACAAAAGTGTTCAAATTATTAGTCTAAAAACACTTTTCATTTATTACGCGTTTACATTCGTGTACGTGTTGGTCATACATTTAATACTTACTGTTAGTCTGCGTGCCTTTGTTCTTAATCAACAACTTTATCCTGTTTGGAATAATGTTTACCAACATTTCACTTGAGTTTTTAATTTCATCGTCGTGGTACAAAATCTTCTCTACTTTGTCCTCGACTGCTTGTACATTTCCTTTTTTCTCTTGGTAATACCCCATAAATTTTCTATGAGGTTCAAGTCAGAGCTATTCCGTGTCCATGGTAACACTTAAAATTGCTTTTCTTCTAAATTCTTGAAGACATTTTTGGTCTTTGTGGCACTGTGCTTCACCATGCATAAAAATATCATTAGGGGACCACTCTAATTTTGGGAAAAAGTTCTCTTTCAAGGATTTTTTTGTATTGGTATTGCCTCATTGTTCCTTCGACAATGTGCAGTCACTCAGGATCTTTCAGACACACACTTAACAGCGTTTCTCTCCAATTATATGACGGAACTTAGGAAAGACATGCTTTAGTCTAATAATTTGAACACGTCTGTATTTCATATACGTGTGAAGTAGACCATTATGTGCAAGTTAGTTAATTATTCACGAGCATGTTAGCAGGAGTGTATAATTACCAACGAGTTGACAATCGCTAACTTGCGAGAAATAGAAGATATTTCTGATAACATTAAAAGCAAAGCAGCGAAAACTGTAAAATATTTACTACCCAGCAAATCTACAGATGCATATTGCAAAATATTACGAAATTTTCGAGGAGTGGAGGTGAGAATGAAATACCAAGTACATTGTAAGGAAGTTACGTTAGAATGTTATTTTGCAATGAAAGTACCAATACTTAATGCAGGTTATTTACGTATTATATTTTATTTGATGAGTTTGGAGGCAGTTATGGATGAGTAAGCTGTTCGGGTCTGATAACAGAACAACTTGTGCAACAATTCAAATGAGAAACTTTCAACCATCCATCCCCAGACTTGGGACCCTCATCGGTTTACAAAACTCAGACTTTTTGGCAGGAAAGAAATTTGAAACTGATGAACTGAAAGCAGTTGTGATACGTAAACTCGTCACACTTTATGGGAAATGCTTAAATTTGCGAGGTGACTATGTGGATAAGTAGTTTAAAGCATGTTCTTTACAAATAAAATATTAGTATTTGTTAAATTGTACTAGTTTTTTTTAAATTCCAAAACGGGTACTACTTTCCGGATGCCAGTCATGCCGATCAGAGAAGCCGACCACTAGAAATATCCTCCAGGTAGCGGGTGAACTATTCCTAGCTGTATAGGTAGGTGTGGAAAATACGTCACAGACGGGGCTCAAACCCTAGGACCTCCAGGCCAGAGCCGGTGAAAAAACTGCGTTAGTAATATATTGAAATAGAAGATTATTATAACAATACATAATTAAATTTATTAAAATTTTAGTAAATCAATATATAACATTAAAACAATTGTTAATTTCAATAAAATATTTAATTAAAATAATGTGAAATATGAGAGATCATTCTGTATTTCCGCAATTTCGGTTAGTAAATCTCTGAGCTAAACTCGGCCAGCCTGACGATTCGACGAACGCGAATTACAAATGGAATGGGGCAGGATGGAGAATGGGACGTTTAAAGCGAGATCAATTCCTGTTTCATTCATGCAGTTCATTGATTCGATTCATTCATGCAGTTCATTGAATTCAATTCACCTTCCTCAAGGTTTGTGCATCCGATAAACGGAACAGTTCCGCCCAGTGTTGTGAATCTGCAACCTGTGATCGATTCTTTTTTTTGCAGTTGGATCTTCACACCCTCACGTTCTGGGAATTGTTATGTAAGATATTGCTGTTTAAATTAATTTACGTTTGATAACTATTTCGTGAAGATGGTTACAAAAAGACAATTTTTCACTTTCGAGGGAGAGCAATCCAGAAGTTACGTGTTTTTTTACAAGCATGTAGAGGAAAGGAGAGAAACTGTGCATTAAATTTTCTTTATAACTTATTTGTTTAGAGATATTAATCACTTAAGTATGTTATTAGAAGTAGTCGATTTGTAAGTTGAAATGATGTACAAAACTTACAAGAAACTTTTATGTTCACTATCTCTTGATAATCTGGTCTCCCGGTGAAATGAAGCAATGAACCTACCATTTCTTTTCGAATTTAACGAAGTTTCTTAAAAAATTGGTGTTTAATGCATATCGATCATTTTTGACACCTTTTAATTTAACTAGACGTAATAGTAAAAGGTAATGTATCATTATGCATGCTCATGTAATAAACAAATTAATATGGTAGGAAATGATATATTGAAATATGACATAAACTTTATTACAATTTTGGTAAACGAATATATAACATCAAAGCAATTGTGAATTTCAATAAAATATTTAATTAAAATAGTGTGAAATATAAGAGATTGTTCAGAATTTTCGAAATTTCGGCATACATCTGTGCATGGAATGTCCTGGTGAGTCAGAAACTGAAAGAATGGTCGTTCGAAAATTTCTCTGGTCCGGCATGAGTTGTTATACTTCAAAAAAACAAAACACTTTTTATGTTGAACTCTCAGCTGTTTTTATAAACGTGCTAATGAAGGTTTTGGGAGTTGGCGAGAAATATTGCGGCTTCGCCAGAGAAATTAGCACCGTTAGTGTTCACCTCATAGTCTTCATGAGCGAATGTACGCCAACCGTGTGCCGTCGCCCAGCCAAGGCCCCCGTCCGGGCCGCGTAGCAGCGCCGTTCGAAGGAGGCCTTGGCCGCAGGGCCGCGATCCCAGGGATTCGTGTAGCACGGGCGTGGCACAACGCGTCCGCACCTGCCTCTTGGCCTGGCTGGGAAGCCCGGTGCTCCCGCGGCCATGTGCACCTTCCCCCGACTCCGCGCTCGCTTCCCCTCCGAATCCAGTAGTTAATCCAGATGGCTAGGTCGAATTCGGCCGCTGTCTTCAGGAGAATTCTAGTGGCCGGCTGCTTCGATCGTATTTCACTAGTTTTTATTATGCCTCGACGATTTAAATCTTCTAACTGAACGGAACTGCTATTGGTGATCCGAAGGAAATCCCTCAAACTGTTTCGTTCACGATCAGTGTTGCAAACTCATGAAGCATTCAACCTACAACATCCGAATTGTTATTTGATTTCCCGATAATTAGGCGTGTTTTTATGGAAATTGAATTTGCTATTTCTTTCTCCAGATCTCTCTAGTGCATTGGTTTCATAAGCCGAAGGCGCGCCCCCACGGGAGGTGTAATGACTAGTCAAGGGGGGGGGGGCGCACTATGAGACATACTGTGGGAGAAGTGTGTTCTGGGAACAGTGAACTCTTCAACTTCGGTTAAAGCAGAAATAGCAAATTCATTTTCCTTAAAAACACGCCTAATTATCGGGAAATCAAATAACAATTCTGATGTTGTAGGCTGAATGCTTCATGAGTTTGCAACACTGATCGTGAACGAAACAGTTTGAGGGAATTGCTTCGGATCACCAATAGCAGTTCCGTTCAGTTAGAAGATTATTTAAATCCACGAAGCATAATAAAAACTAGTGAAATACGATCTAACAACGGCCATCGTGAATGGGGTAAAAAGGTTTTGGAGAGAGAAGGAAACAAGTATGATGAAAAACAGGATTCAAAAATGAACGTTCTCCAACAGTGCAAGAGGCATTGAAGAATGTTTAGACAGCCCTTAGATAGTTTGTGTGTATGGCCAATGTACAATCAAGTGTGAAGAAAGCACGACGATACTAAAACATTAAATTCGCGGCGTTTGACTATTTTACTGTGCCACTGAAATAAAAAAAAATCAATCGTAATTGAAATATTGTGATTAACGGATATAGTGAACCTCAGAAATAGTGAACAAAAAATATTAATCCTTCGAGATTCACTACAATCGAAGTCGTCTGTATTTCCTATCTTTCCGTCAGTTTCCTTTGTAGAAATTATACAACGTGTTTGTTTGTTTAAAACTCAAAAGAGAACATCACTCAAAATACGACAATCGGGATTCTTGTGGAGAAAGTACGTTTGCTACCCGGACGGTATTCGTTCGGCGAGTTAGGCAATTTTGAATAGAGGTCGGGCTGCCGGCGGAATTGTTTCCGAGTTGGCAAAAGTAGCTAAGTATGTAAAAATAATATATTTTTATGTTTATTTTAAAATTAATATTGTTTTTATCAAGGTTTACGAAATATTTAAACTACATTTATATGCAATTCGGAATTTAATTCATTGATGCCCCCATTGTACTATACTTTTTAATGGATGGTTGAAATAGATTACCATGCGATGTGGTAAAATGACAATGTTCATAAAAATGAATTTAAACTGAAGTTGTATTGAATTTTATGACGAGTTAAATAATGCAGAACTGTTAAATACTATTTTATCAAAAGGCGGAATTTATTTCAAAATTACAAAAGATAAATTTAGTTACTTCAAAGCAAATCTGTGATTGGAAACTTCAATTGAAGTCTGTGATGTGAAAATTGAATAACCTTAAATATTTATTTTCGTTTTGAAACTATTTAGTTTCTTTGGTTGCCTTTGACGATACCCACCTCTCCCCGGTCAATGGAGTGACCGGCGAAACACTTTCTGAAAGGTCCAACCAGAGGAGAAGAGGAGAGGTGAGGCAAAGAAGTGGCCTCGAAGATGCTCCCGTTATTTTCCGGGCCACGATGGCTGGAATTCAGCCCGTTAAGGAGGCCCTTCTTAAGGGGTCGCAAGTACGATAAAATTACGAAGTTCCGTCATGATATAGATATATAAGACGTCCCGTAATGAAAATAAATATGAAAATGTACTCTGAAATTAACAAATTATTTTAAATATATTTACGAACGAATATAAAATTTAGATACAAAATTGGAATTGTTTGGTCAAATAAAGGTACTAATGTTATTGTCTGTGATGATTTAATTAAAATAATAGGAGTTTTCAAATCAAATGTATACAATAGAACACAGGCAAATTATAAGAAAATGATATATTTATTTTCCATGATAGAAACCGTACTTCCACGTTTCGTGGTTTAATGTATTCACGTATTAAAGTAGATGCTCTATAAAAATGTTTTAAACCTAAATTTAAAAAATTAAATATAGTCAAAAGAAGTAAAGATTTGAGGAGTAATACTGAATTCATAATGAAAAATTGAGAATGGTGACATGTTCATTATATATTTATTATCATACTAATAGAACATGGAGTTATCTTTTAAGTGCGAAAACCCGACAGAGGCTCGAGAAAAAATATTTTTTCTTAAAATTAACAAAATTGTTTTAAGAACTAGAAGTACGAGAAGTATTAACAGGCAGAAATTATTGGTCTGCATTGTTTTTTCTACAAGTCAATAGTTGAATTGTGCTTAGATGATTGGATTGAATTAATGCCTTATTATACGTGGCGAGACTCGGGCCATCAGGCCCACTCTTCCTGGCCACACAAATTTTGCTACGCTCCTTTCACCAACTAGCAGAGAAAGGAGGCATTTCTTGGGCGAGAAATAGGCGATTTGAATTTAGCTCAGAGACGTCATTTAGGCTTGAGGATCTTTTACATGCAAGTAAATCTACTAACACGGGACAGCCGGCTTTACTTCCTCTCCGAAGGAAGGCGAACGAAGGATTTTTTCGCCCTTAAAAATCCACGGCTTCGATCGAGTTTGAACCCGCCAACTTGGGTATAACAGTCCGTTACACAATCGCTGCCCAAAGTGATGGTGTGCTAGCGCTCGCGAGAGCCAAAACGAGTGCTGGAGTTGTGACCTCCGTGGAAGCTGCAAGCACCGCTCGCAATTGTCATTCGGACGAGCCGATCGAGACTTCGGTGTTCCAAAAGCTCTCTCATGCAATGGAAAGGCAAAAGCGACAGTTGCGCTGAGCCAAAATCTGATTGTTTCATTACTTTTTTGCGTTAGATTTTTAATTAGTTTTACGAAAATTGTAAATAAAAACCCAAATGGAGGCAGTACGCAATATATTATAAAGAGAATTGCAAAAGGTAGAGTGGCTGTAAGACAATTACATCCACTGATATGGAAAGATAAATTAAGAGTGTAAAAAGAAAATTAAATAAGACTGTTGTAGAAAATATTGCCGTTT